TTTGTGCTTAACTTTATATTTGTAGCTTACACCACCTTGGAAGCCTGATGTTAGGAATGAATGGGACACAAAGTATATCCCTGATGAGTTTGCCTGTGAACCACCGGAACTGTCACCGAAGGGCGGTTTCCACGACAATCAACAGCCACTGAGCTCTATATCAGAAGACGGTGAATTACCATACTTTGAACAGTTCTCTTACCACGGTGGTAGTAGAAATGTGTATGGACATTATTTATCAAACTCTAATTCAGCTGTCCACCACACTGAGGAGACGTTTTAACAGGCAGTTATTGAAGTAATATCGCAGTTTGTACTTCACACAAATTTTTAGATCTGTTCTCTTTTTTTTTTCTAGACTGCTTGAGCGAAGCGTGCATATTGTGAGCTTTTATGACAGTTTGATAAATTAATATGTCAATACTTTCTGAAAAGAATATTTTTAGTTCTGCTAAAAAAAGCTTCTATTAATTTTTGTGCTATGAAATCTTTAGAGTGACATATTTCAGATTCTGTTTGAAGATTTTAATCCATATGTTAAGATTTGATTTATCTCTGGATATTGTCTACATTGAATAGAAGTTTTTATGTGGCAAAGGTGGGATATAAATACCCTTTAAGCCTCTCTTTACTTTAAGGCCCTTTATACTATAAATAACCAAAGATCTGACATAATGTATCACTTATTGTTTTAGAATATTTAGATTCCACAATATTCTAGCATGTGTTATGTATGGAAGATGGATAAAAAATGTTTCAAAAGTTAAACAATTTAGAAAAGTTTTAAGCTTCAAAAGCAATGAATTGAAATACAGATTTTTAAAAAAAAGAAACTTGTTTGTTAGGGTTTTAATTTTTAGAAGATTGTTGTAGACCAAAATGACTGTGTCAAATGCATTTTGAGCCATGTATGTGACAACACCAAAAAAATATAAATTCATAAAGGTCTATCTCTCAAAAATTTATTGACAACCTTGATAGTTGAGGACAGTAGTTGAAGGTTCTGTAACTCATTTTTTTATGGTTTTAAATCATAAATATGATGCTCAAATTAAGATTTATCAATATTGTAAGTTCCAAAAAGCATTATTTGTAAAGATATTCCAGAGGTAATTAGAAATTTATTTTCGATAAATTCTAAGCCAAATTTTTTTAATATAAGAAATGAATGCATATATTTTAATGATTACTTATAATGCGTATAAACATTTGCTGTACATATTTAGCATATTCTTGGATGTTTGGAAATTGTTCATAAACAGTAAAGCCATAAATAGTGATCTACTTTCATGTATATTATTTTTGAATGTATGAATTGGCTGGATTCTGTGATGGTGAATTATCTGACAGACATCAACAAATTACACTGTCAGACGGGTGACATTTTACAACAACTGCCACACCAGGTTTTGGACCATGCTTATCTGGATCAAATTATGTATATACATAAATATTATATACTTGTTTTTTTTACGATTGATAATTAATTGTTTAATAAGTGTCCTAGGAATTCATTGTAATGATTTATAAAGACATATGTATAAGAAAAAAGTTTTAATTTAAATCTTTGTTTTCATAAAGATTTTGTTGTTACTGATTCAGTGTTAATGAATGGATTAATCTCCACATGTACATTTTACTAGAGCTGTCATTGATTCAGTTCAAGTATATCTGTATCGGCTGACAAGTATTGACAATATATCAATATATCGAGTAATTCTTATGTATTTTCTTTTATGCCTGTTTTCCTGATTTCAATAAAATACATTTTTTGTTAATAAAATTATGATGAATATTGTTTACAAATGTCACTGTGTGTTGTTTTTTTCTGACCATTTTTGTCATCACAGTTTTAAAATATGTCTATTACGAAACAACAGCATAGTTTTAGAAAAGTAGTTTTGATAGGGCACCAGTTTTGGATTAATTTTCATAATTTCTAGACATTTTATTAATAAGAATCATATTTTTTTTTCAAATCTGTTATAGATCAACAGAAAACTATTGACAATATATCTATATGATTTCTATCTATGACAGCTCTACATTTTACACAAAAAAAATCAAAGTTATACAAAATTTGTTCTTGTGAAAATGTAATCATATTGATGTTGTAGGTTTGTGTTGTTGTAGATATAGTAGTATATTTTGTGTGAAAATAATGTATTGTTTTATAGGTATGTACTGTTTTTAACTTTAACATGATTTGTTACATTTTATAAAATGATGGTACACCATCTTTCAAGGGGGACAAGTGACCTTAGTGGTCAATGTGTCAGCCTCCCAACCCAGAGCTTGTGAGTTCAGACCCTGCGGAGATAGTCTCCATTTTCCCCAACCATTTTTAAGATGAATTTTGTTCCACAATCAACTTTTGATAAATACATTAAGATTGATTATAAAGATTTTAAGAAAAAGAAACCAGTGAAAGTTGGTAATACATTTATTCAGTTTAAATGCTTGCTACAGTATTCAGATTGAGGCATAATAAAAGTGTATCTATATTTAATAATACTATGAAATTTCAATTAAGTTGGTTGTAATTCATATGGCGGCGATATCAGTTCAACAAATTTGCTTGTTATTTATTTCTGTTGCTTTATTTTAACTTTTTGGTTAACACAATAGTGCTGTAATATGTTTGTTTGACATAACATTGCTTAATACTTTTTTTTTATGAAATTCACAGGGTCCTGAAATATTATCAATACACAAACTGTCATTGCATGATACAAAAAGACTGTCTAAATTTGTTAAATTTATTCAGTTTATTAAACTGGCCTGGAGGTTGTAAAACTTTTTACCAAGTTCTGTCTCAAATCTCAGGATTTTCATTGGTCAATGTACAATTTGTGACTAATCAAATACTTGCGATCTGAGTTTGAGCTAAGAGATTTTTTTATAACCTTGGACTTCTAACTTTTTTAAACTGACAGTGTTTTGAGACATAAATACCTGTGCCTTTTCTAGTTTTTGAACTGATTTCAATGGTTTTGTCATGTCTGAAAGCTTATTAATACATGATCTGTCTCAGATAGATATTTTCAATGTCCCGACATGTAGATTATATATTTTTGTATACAACAAAATAGGAACATTAATGCCAAAGAATGTATGCAGTTGACATATGCCGTAGTAACCAGAGTTTTACTTGTGAAAGAATCTTTTATTTTGAGAGATTTTCCAGTTCGATAATGTTATTTTATATATGAATAGACAGTGTATTGTATAAAAATATCAGCATATCTGATTCAAAGAAAGTAATGAAAAGCTTTATCGATTTCATTTTGTTGAAAGCAGTAAGGCAGAAACAAATTGGTATGTTAGTGAATAGTTTTGTTATGCAGGCTGATGCTGGACCAGTGAAGTCAGTGTGTAAATGTATGATTGGATAGTTTGATATTGTAGTTATGCTGTTAAATATATATTGAATATATCCACAAATACCGGTGAATTTATATTGCCTTATAACTACATTTTTCTTCCAATGAAATCAGCTTATTTTAGTACTTGTAACTTATATTTTAACCTCTGGCCTGCTTGTTATGATGTTTAATTTTTAATTTTCTTTCTCAGTATCCTGTAAAATTAGCTATTTTGTCTAAGCTTTTGCCACCAGTATAGAGCCAGGCCAGCCTGTACATCCGTGCAGTCTGACCAGGCTACATATTGTTGGCAGCTCAATTTTTGTATTTAGATATTGAAATCCCTTGAACTTTGAATGGACTGTTTCAAATTCAAAGCTGGACAGATCCATTATAGAAATATACCAGGTTAAGGGTTAACACATTGGTCATGTCTCGGTGGTTAGTCTACCTAAGCATTTTCCTGGAAAACTAACCAGTAATTACCAATTTCTTCACAAATGTCTGACAACCAATCTGAGATGATTGGTGAGACACAAATGACCATTAGACTCCAATGTCCGAGATCAATTGTCAAAGAGAAATTCAGCCTCATCTTTGGATCAATCCAGTGACCTCTGGATTTCAAAGCTGATGCTCTCCCTTTGAGGCTAAGTAAAGAAAATAGCACCAATTTACAATAGTGACTTTTGTCAGATCTATTGTTGTGATGATTTCGACTATTTTTAACTATTCTTTTATGTTTTAATGTACAATGTACTTCAATAGGTATTTTTTAACTATCAGTACTGTTTATGTTTTAATTGAAAGGTTCAATAACAGTAGTTTTTGTTAATAAAATTGAATTGCATGTGCTAGATGCAGGCTGTGAGCACTGAATATGTTAGAAGAAAAAAAAACTAGGAGAAACAAAAAAAGTTTTTAGGACAAAATAAGGAAGTATACCATAGTAATGTAGCCAGTTGAAATAAATTGCCATCGATAGTTTTCACCATCTTAACACTGTGCACTATAGCTTTAATACAATCAAATTAAATAATCATAGAATGTTGAAATGCTTAGAGGGAAAGTAATCACGACCATTATGTAATTACTGAGCTGGAAAACATTTGGCCTATATAGATTTCACTGCATTAAGACAATGTAGTTTACGATTATAAACTAGAAATACTTGGAAGTTAGGAGCACATTAGAAAAAGAATGAGTTCTGCTGTTATAATAAGAAGAAAAAAACACTTTAAAAACAAGAAAGAATGGGGAAAAGTAGTAAAATAAAGAAAAAGGAAGGAAAATTAGGGGGAAACAAGGAAAACTAGGAAAATGGAAGGAAAACTAGGAAAATGGCAGGAAAACTAGGAAAATGGAAGGAAAGTAGAAAAAACTAGGAAAATATGAGTGCTTGAGAGCCTGTAAATAAAGTTTGCTATCAAATATTAGTAGATGGCCATTTAATAATTATTTGTGATCTTGATGTTTTAAACACCTATATTAACCTAACAATAGACAGTTCTGAATACAAATGATGGAATATCCCATTATACAAAGTGAGGATATTCAGGTTTAATATTGGTGGAAATTGTCTTGATATAGAGGGCAGTAATTTGTTCCAATAATAACCATTCCTGTCTATGTTAAATGTCATCAGTTTATACACAGTGTGTGAAGTGTATTATATGGGAGATAGATTGCTTCTATGTTTTGTTTGTTGCTTTTCTTGTTTGTCTCCATTTTGATCATGAAATATTCTCATTAAACCAAAAGGGGGGAAAAAAACGGGCAATTTCTTGGATGTGTATATGGTATGTTTCTTTTTCATCTTGTTCAGGGTAGGCTTTCAAGTAGGGATAAACATAAGGGATCACTGGCATACAAGTCCAAGTTAGTTTTACTCCTCTCTGTTCGAAAAAAATAACACAATTTAAACCTTTTTTTCGATTGAAAATAATATCACAATTTAATTAGAAATAATATCACAATTTAAAATCTCTAAGTTTTTTCAATATATTCTTCACATTTCTAATATCTTTATATTGTTTTTATGTTAAATATTGTTTTTATTGTTTTGTTTTAGATATGTGCTAACATTTTGTTTTGAAAAAAACTGTAAATACATGTACAACAACATATATCGAAGCTTGGCCCAATATTATAAAACAGAAGACATTTTAAATCAAAACCTGTTGAAATCAAACTTTTGACTGGGTACCTGTAGGCTTTGAACCTGACTTTACATAGCAACATGTACTTACTTTGAAGTCATTAAATAATACAATTAGACTTGAAATAATGCATGAAAGGGTACCATTGGTCTTTCTGCACCAGTTGTGCTGGAAATGTCTTCCTATGACCTTTTTGATATTGAATTTGACTTAAAATGCATTTATATACACATTTTATAAGTATAAAATGTTTTAGTAAGGTACAGCCTATAAATGACCTTAAAGGAACTCCACTGACATCCAAAATCCTGAAAAACATTAAATTTGAATTTAATATAAATCAGCTGGGTCACTTAATACAGAAAAATGTGCAAAAGGTAATTTTAAAAAAAAAATAAAAATAAAATTTAAAATTATTTTTAAAAATTTTTGCTTGATTTGGTGAAAAGCATTCATTTTCTCAATTTTTAATTTTTCACATTTAAAAAAATTTTTTTTAGGAAAAATGTTTGGTGAATTGAAAAAATTTTTTTGAAAAAAATTATAAAGGTCAAAAATTTTCATCAAATATTGAAAAAAAAACATTAAAAAAACCTAGGGGGTCCCTTTAAAGGGTATGGGTTTACCCGGAACTATAATGTTTTATTGATACTAAAAATCAAAGACTTAATGAATAAAGGTAATTTTTTCCCAAATTTTGGGGAACTTCCAAAATTAACTTTTAAAAATTTTTTGTTAAAAGCATTTTTTTTCCTTTTTGTATTTTCTTGTAAGACTTTTTTTCGTTTAAAAATTTTCCAGAATGACCTGAAAAAATTAAATTTGAATTATAGAGTTTTTAAAAAAGTTATAGTTTGATGTAGGAAATTTCAACCATCATTCTGAGCCGATTAATTAGCCTTTTCCATCAGTATACAGCCAGGTCAGTCTGCACATTCATGCAGTCTGACCAGGCCCAATAGTGTTGGCTACTTACTTAAAATTTAATTTCCAAAAAACCAACAGTGAACATATACAAAAATGGAAGCTTGACAAATCAATCGTTTCAGGAAATGAACAGGTTCAGGATTAAAGAAATATAATTCTAACTTTTCAGTTAGCTACCTCTTTTAGTGGAAAAAAAAATGTTTCTTTCTAGTTTGGTTTGCTTTTCTGTAATAATTATAATATTATTGTTTGAATGTAAACATTGTGTTCAGTATAGTGAATATGAAAAATTGTTTGTTCAATATTTCTTTATATGTGGTTGTTCATTTAGAATATGTAGAATAAAAAGTGCTTTCTTTAAATTTAAACAGCTGTAGTCAGTATTTATAATTGAGCCACGTCACGACAAAACCAACATAGTGGGTTTGAGACCAGCATGGATCCAGACCAGCCTGCGCATCCGCGCAGTCTGATCAGGATCCATGCTGTTCGCTATCAGTTTCTCTACTTGTAATAGAGTTGGATGTGCAGGCTGGTCTGGATCCATGCTGGTCGCAAACCCATTATGTTGGTTTTGTCATGACACGGCTCATATTAAGTTTGATACTTTGAACTGAATCTTAGTTTTCGTTGCTTATTTTTGTCATATACATGTATATTGCTCTTAATGCTTTAATTTAATACCAACCTGATCATGAAAAATATAACTGTTTAACTCTGTTGTTTCATATAAATTTCCTGTAAAGTATTATTTACTGGCAGTTATAATGATCTGAATTTACATGAGTCGAGAGACAATTTTTAAAGAAATTAACGAGAGCATAATTGTATTTAATCATTTTGTAATTTTGTGTAACCTACTTTGTTATACACTTGTGTATTACAACTTCCACACACACACGCATGCATAACACACACCACACAAACATCATATTGTTAACTAGATGTTTCTTCTATTTTATGTATTAACTACTATACCGGTATACATTCTAACATGTACATTTCTTATATTGTGACTTGTTAACATCTCAAAAATATAACTTACAGATTAATTTTGTAACTGAAATAAAGCATCTTATAGAAACTATTCTTGTTTTATTTACCTTCAGCCTGTTGGCTGGAATAGTCTACCCATGCAACCAGTGCCGATCAAGATCAGGCAGCACATCTTTTTCTTCTGATCATGGTCTGCACTGTATGCTATATAGTAAATACAGTCTAACTTGCCCATGCGACCACGTGTATTAAGCGAGTTTTGTCTTATGCGGCCACTTTCAATTCCCCCCGTTCATTTTCTCTCTATATCTTTAATGTTTTAAGCGACTTTTGCTCAACGCGACCAACGACCGCTAATTAGTCAGCAAATCGAGTTCAATCTTTTCATTAAATGACCACTTTTACCTGTCAAGTAATTGTAGTCACAAGTGTCAACAATCAAAACACAATATATAAATGTGTGAAAAACTCTTTTTGCCAAACCGTTCTAGTGTATGCAAATAAAGGTAAGTATACGCGTGACATGTATTATCCAATAATATTGATAAAACAATGCATCGCTCTGCCCCTACTCAGATGGTGTATACGCTTAGCTGCTGATATTTAGACTGCATTGAATTGACCTTGAACTTCATTAAGCGGCCATTTTGGGTGTTTCCTTTGCCCGGTCACTTAATACAAGTTTGACGGTATTTTGAAATTATTCCCTAAAAATAAATGAAGGGTCTTCTCAAGATTGGTGGTGCATAATTCTTGGCATTAAAAGGTTTACCCTTTCACTTGATTATAGAATGGGAGATTGCTCAAGGAAAAAAACAGTTGAGGTAAAATGAAATGATCCTAAGATGCAATTCTTCATAGAAAGGAATGATGTCATTTAAAGCACTCGACTTGTCTTATACAGGGGATGAACATCATCTTATTGTATTATCTCCCTCAACGATCTTCAAATATGGACAAAATTGAAAAGTAACAATTTCATGTAAGCAAAAGCTTTTATTTCTCCTTTAAAATACTAATATATAATTCATTTACATGTATATAATATTCCTGATGCACCAATTAATAAGCCTGAGAAATGAGAAATGCCTAAACCTAAGTTACATATACTAGTATATATCACATTATTATATTCTGACCCCATTCTACACAATATTTCCAGACATGAATACCCATTTCATTTTACTTTTGGTCATTTCACTACTAAATTTGTATGATGAATTTGCCATGATTTGAATTTGGAACTATCTATTCACAGTTTCAAGGAGTTTCAATATCAAACTAGAAATGTGTTAAAATGACCATGGAACCCCCCCCCCCCCCCCCCCCACACTGTTCCACTGTTTTAGTAAGTCTATGGGTAGACAGGTTGACAATAGATTGGATGGATGGGTAAGGGCAAAGCTAATATGTTATGGAAGGATATTAACGCCAAAATTACATCTTGCTTTCTTACGTTACATCGTGCTTTCTAACTTGTACATCTTGCATTCTGACTTTTACATCTTGCATTCTGACTTGTACATCATGCATTCTGACTTGTACATCTTGCAGTCTGACTTTTACATGTTGCTGTGTGCGTCTTGCTTAATTGTATGTTGATATCGTTATTAACAATCAATTATTATTCATTTGTTGATCTGGTATATTAATTCAATAACTTAACCTGTAACTGTTTGTATTTGGGTCTATTTACTCAGCATGAATGACGAATGTCATAAGGTAGAATGACGCATAGCCGAAAGCCGAATGCAGCAAGCATAATACGACGCGACATCTGGTGTAATAATATGTGACACCCAAATTATGCTAACAGGTGGCGCTACAGTTATATTCTCGGTAAAGTCAGTATTGCGGTTCGGATTCAGTTTACCAAATTACGTCCCTTCGTTTTAAAATTTCTATTTCCACTACGGAGGAAATAAGGTTAACATATATACAAAACAATTTGACCAATTTTTGTATTTATTACTGAAACTCTGTGGGTCAAATTATATTTCCAGCTGACAATGACAAGTTGCACATTTCCAAATCAATGATTTTAGAATTATTTTTTATCAACAAAATAATTATAATATAGAACAGTTGTTCAAAGTGCTTGGGCCATAAAAAAACTTCTTAGTAAAATAGTTCTTCCTCTTGAAAAGTTCCTAATTTTTGACATGGCTTATTTTCAATACCTGTGACCATCCCCAACATTTCTAATGTGTTTTTATTAATTAGGACATTTTCTTGCCTGTTTTCAAACTAAATTTGTACACACATTGTTAGATTATTTTTAATTCAACTTGTCAAAAAAAATATCATTTTTCACTAAGTTGAAATTATTCACTAACATGCTTTATGAATACGGGACCTTGTTCACAGTGTCAGCTAAAAATTGAATTGAAGGAACTGCTGCCAAAATCAGCTGCTTCTGAGAAAAAAAATGTCAAAACTGTCAATCTGTGAGAGTGCAGCTTTAAGACGAATGATTTCATAATGTTAATTGATGAGTAAATAAAAACAAAATGTACAAAAAAGATCCCAAGAAATGGTTATCAAATGAATATTGCATGTTTGGCTGAAGATTACGGTGGGCACAAAGGTGACTTGTGTATGTTTTTATTTATCTCGAGCGCACGAGATACTATGTCGTGGCCACAAGTTAGTAAGTTGTGGCCACGAGATAGCTAAGCCGTGGCCACGAGATACTATGTCGTGGCCACGAGTTACTAAGTCATGGCCACAAGATAATATGTTGTGGCCACAAGTTACTAAGTCGTGGCCATGAGATAGCTAAGTCGTGACCACGACAAAGTATCTGGTGGCCACGACTTAGCTATCTCGTGGCCACGACTTAGTAACTCGTGGCCACGAGATAAATAAAAATACACACATGTCACCTTTGTGCCACCGTAGAAGATGCCTTTTTAGTAGTTTTCTTTATAAAAAGGCATCTTCAGCTTAACTTGTCATTGTCAGCTGGAAATATAATTTGACCCACAGAGTTTCAGTAATAAATAAAAAATTGGTCAAATCGTTTTGAATATATGTTAACCTTATTTCCTCCATAGTGGAAATGAAAATTTTAAAACAAAGGGATGTAATTTGGTAAACTGAATCCGAACCGCAATACGGACTTTACTGAGAATATAACTGTAGCGCCACCTGTTAGAATAATTTGGGTGTCACATATTATAACACCAGATGTCGCGTCGTATTATGCTTGCTGCATTCGGCTTTCAGCTATGCGTCATTCTACCTTATGACATTCGTCATTCAAGCTCGTAGACTCAAATAGTTAAGTTATTGAATTAATATACCAGATCAACAAATGAATAATAATAATTTGATCATTAAATAACGATATCAACATACAATTAAGCAAGAGCACACAGCAGGAAGCATAATGTGCATGTAAGAAAGCAACATGTTAAGTCAGAATGTACAAGTCAGAATGCAGATGTACAAGTCAGAATGCAAGATGTACAAATCAGAATGCAAGATGTACAAGTTAGAAAGCACGATGTAACGTAAGAAAGCAAGATGTAATTTTGGCGTTGATATTCTTCCATACTATATCCCCCTCTGAAATCAGTGGGAGCTTAAAAGTATATAATAGAACAGAGCAATCAAAAAAGAGTCACAAAAGTAAAGACTGGCATTACATTATACTGTTGTTAGAGTAAAGCTGGGTCTGAAAGTGATTAGCTATTGCTACCAGTATAGAGCCAGGCCATTCTGCACATATGTACAATCAGCCGAGGCTCTATACTGTTTGTAGCTCAATACTGTAATCCACTACACTTCAAACAGTACCAAATTCAAAGCTGGGCTAATTTATTACACAAATTCAGCAAGTTAAGCGTAAACAAAAACTAATGACCTGCATTAGAAACAAAAGCTTACTAACTTATTACTTTATATATTGATTCATAAATCTATATGAGCTTGTTTTCAAAGGTTTAACTTTTACTGGATTAATGTAATTGACTTGCTTTGTTTTAAAATTTATGACCAATGCTTAAGTAGTTAAAGAAACTTTAAATTGCATTTATCATTGGGAGGTCATGCATAAAGTTGAATACCGGTTTTTAATCTAAATTTTCAAATAAGAAAGGCCCAAAAAATAAACCTTTTTTTTTAACAAAAAAATGACACAAAAATGACACTAACCTGTTTCAGTAACATTACATAAAAACATTAAACGCATTGTATGTGCTTATCATGTAAAATATAAAATAAAAGTTATAGAAAAAGGAAATGCCCATGATGTGTATATCAATTTATAAAATTTTATGCAAAGTACACTGTTGTATATACATGTTTATAAAAATTACTTAAATATAAATTTGCTATCAGTTCAGCATATAAATTAAAGCAGGTAAATAATAAAATATGCATTTTTAATGGTTTTTGCCATTTTCAAAGTAAAGTACATGTATTTATTGCAATATACTATAAGGCTTACATAATTTAGTTTATCAAGATTATTTCAATTTATTTAGATTTCTGCAACTTTGTTCACACATTTACGTAAATTCATAAACCTAATTTATCCAAACAAGGGTGGCATGGGTTCTGTACAAAGCCTTGTTCAATGGACATTTGAGCAAAGTGTGACATTGACGTTTAGACAGCACAAGGGTGGCATAGGTTCTGCACATTGCTTGTTCAGATGGACATTTGAGCAAAGTTTACTTAACTTTAAAGTGTGACATTGACCTTTAGACAGCACAAGGGTGGCATAGATTCTGCACATTGCTTGTTCAGATGGACATTTGAGCAAAGTTTACTTAACTTTCAAGTGTGACATTGACCTTTAGACAGCACAAGGGTGGCATAGGTTCTGCACATAGCTTGTTCAGATGGACATTTGAGCAAAGTTTACTTAACTTTCAAGTGTGACATTGACCTTAAGACAGCGCAAGGGTGGCATAGGTTCTGCACATTGCTTGTTCAGATGGAAATTTGAGCAAAGTTTACTTAACTTTCAAGTGTGACATTGACCTTAAGACAGCGCAAGGGTGGCATAGGTTCTGCACATTGCTTGTTCAGATGGACATTTGAGCAAAGTTTACTTAACTTTCAAGTGTGACATTGACCTTAAGACAGCGCAAGGGTGGCATAGGCTCTGCACATAGCTTGTCCAGATGGACATTAGAGCAAGGGGTATAGGATTTATAGAGGGGAAAAAAGTCCACAGACAAATGTTCTCACATGATGTGACGTGTTTCTTGGCTTTTTCTTTTGATCTTTCTGTGGCATTTTCCAAATAAACCAATGAAAATTATCACTGAAATCAATGGTTTGTGCAGCTTCTCAGATTATGGATAGAATGAAGCTCATAAACTATAGAATATTTGCCCGTGGTTAAAGCGACAACAGTTATTCCTCCCCCACCTAATTTTTGTAGTGGGGGTACAATAAGTCACTTGGCTTATCATTCATGTCAGTTACTGTTACATGAAATAAAAAATCTCTTGCCATCAGTGTGTAAAAAAATATCTACAATAGTTCTCTTGTCCTCCTGAATTGCTAAACTATTTGAAAATTGTTCTATAACACATAATTTCCCACTTACTAAAGCCATTAAATAGCCTTTACTTGCAAAATGACTACAATTAAAAATAAGCCTCAAAATGTCAGGACATAATTTCTTAATGAATGTTATGATCAAAGCATAAGAATCCATTTATCTTTTTGTTATGGTTTTAAATCACATTGACAATGTAAAGGTCATATGGTAACTTTCCAGTTATACTGATGGATGGATACCTAACATGCCCCACAATGCTTTTATTTTTCATAACCTAGTAGGATCACTTTCTCACATAAAATAATCCAAAGTGCCTGGTGAGATTTAAACCATGATCAGACGGCACACAAGGGTAGAATGAGATGCTGCAAGCAGGCAAAAGACGAAATAGCAAATAAAAACAAAAACAAATGAGATTCTTTATTGTGATCATTGTACTTTTAAGGTCATCAAAAGGTCATGTCATAATTTGAAATATTAATTTTCAAAAAAATGATATCTCTGGACACCATATATACATTTATATAAAAGGCCAAAAAGCATTTCAGTTTTTGACTTCTTTTCCCCCTTTTAAAATGAACAAGAGAATAGAGTGAGTATACTTGTATTCATGGCACATTTTTCTCTTTCTTTTTCTGTCAAAAGAGTTTTTAGTTTGGTTAATTAATACAAAATATTCTTCTTGTTTTTATAGTTTTCTAAAAAGTCTCTCTCTAAATTCTCAGTTAAGTCCATTCAGAAGTTTAAAAAGATATAAGATGTAAGTTAGGGAAGTTGCAGTTTAATTGAATGATACATTAATTTTATTCAGTATAACTTCAAAAGGGATAAAAAATTCTTCTCTCCCATCCACCCTTTTGTGGTGTGATTGAGATTTTATTATGTGGAGACGTGATCACCAGGACCTTGCAGGCTCTAAAGGTTGACTTTTTAAACATGTGAAGTCTCACAATCTCCAGTCGGAGCATCCCCCTTTGATACTAATAGTCAGATCAGATAGGAGAGTCTCACAATCTCCGTTTGAACTCTTCAGAAACAAGAAATTTCAAAAGAAACATATGCCACCTTTCTAGCCCTTGACTCACATTATTGGTAATTTTGTTACAGAAACTTGCCATAAATGTGTACAGGGAAGTGTTCAATTATGAAAAAAAGAAGAAAAATAATAAAGACTTTGTGATAAATAGTTTCAAGATAATGAGACATTTACGGTTTCTGTGACGTAGACCTTTGAACTTGTGACCCAAAATCAATAGGGGTCATCTAATAGTTATGACCAATCAATATTAGAAATATGAAGACTTTGTGATAAATAGCTTTCAAGATAATGAGCAGAAACCATACTAACATTCAAGAACCCTGTGACCTTGATGTTTGACAAAGTGACCCCAAAATCAATAGGGGTCATCTACTAGTTATGACTAATCAATATGTGAAATATGAAGACTTAAAGATGAATACGTTTCAGAATAATCAGCGGAAACCATTCAGACATTAAAAAGGCCCCTGTGACCAATCAGTATGAGAAATATTAATACTTTGTGATAAATAGTAACCAAGATAAAAAGCTCAAATCATATTACCATTCAAGGCCCCTGTGACCTTGACCTTTGACCTAGTGACCCCATAATCAATAGGGGTCATCTACTAGTTATGACCAATCAATATTTGAAATATGAAGACTTTGCGATAAATTGTAACCAAGATAATGAGCGAAAACCATTCTGACAATTGAGGCCCCTATGACCTTGACCTTTGACCTAATGACCAAAAATCATAAGGGGTCATCTACCAGTTATGAACAATCACTATGTGAAATATGAAGACTTTGTGACAAATATTTTTCAAGATAATCAGCGGAAACCATTCAGACATTAAAGGCCCCTGTGACCTTGACCTTTGACCTAGTAACCCCAAAATCAATAGGGGTCATCTACTAGTTATGACCAATCAGTATGAGAAATATTAATACTTTGTGATAAATAGTAACCAAGATAAAAAGCTCAAATCATATTACCATTCAAGGCCCCTGTGACCTTGACCTTTGACCTAGTGACCCCATAATCAATAGGGGTCATCTACTAGTTATGACCAATCAATATTTGAAATATGAAGACTTTGCGATAAATTGTAACCAAGATAATGAGCGAAAACCATTCTGACAATTGAGGCCCCTATGACCTTGACCTTTGACCTAATGACCAAAAATCATAAGGGGTCATCTACCAGTTATGAACAATCACTATGTGAAATATGAAGACTTTGTGACAAATATTTTTCAAGATAATCAGCAGAAACCATTCTGACATTTAAGGCCCCTGTGACCTTGACCTTTGACCTAGTAACCCCAAAATCAATAGGGGTCATCTACTAGTTATGACCAATCAATATGTGAAATATGAAGACATTGTGATAAATTGTAAGCAAGATAATGAGCGAGAAACCATTCTGACAATTGAAGCTCCTATGACCTTGACCTATTGACCCCAAAATCAATAGTGGTCATCTACTTGTTATGACCAATCACTATGTGAAATATGGCAACTTTGTGATGAAAACTTTTGAAGACACTCAACAGAACTCATCTTGACATTTAAGGCCACTGTGACCTTGACCTTTGACCTAGTAACCCCAAAATCAATAGGGGTTATCTACTAGTTATGACCAATCAATATGTAAAATATGAAGACTTATTGATGAATACTTTTCAAGATAATCAGCAGAAACCATTTTGACATTTAAGGCCTCTGTGACCTTGACCTTTGACATAGTGACCCCAAAATCAATAGGGGTCATTTACTAGTTATGACCAATCACTAAGTGAAATATGAATACTTTGTGATAAATAGTTTTCAAGATAATCAGCGGAAACCATGTGGTCTGCCGACAGACAGACCGACCGACCAACATTAGCAAAACAATATATCCCCTCTTCTTCGCAGGGGGGCATAATTATGGTCAATAAAATATCAATCCTACTGCAGTTCCCTGGATAATAAATCTAAATATTGTATGCTTATAATATTATGCATTATCAATATGACTAGGTGGTAAATATATAAAGCAATAAAAGGTATATAAATCAAAACAATTATAATTTAAAACAAGAATGTCCAAAATATATATGGATGCTCACTGATGTCACTTTGACATAAAAGTGAAAAATATGCCCTTACAATGATGTAAGGTAGCAAAATGTATTCTAAAGATCAATGACCTTGACTCAAGGGTAAAGGTCAGTGGAAGGTATCAGCACACCAAATATCTAAATCATCAGCCATTAACTTAAAGTGCTATGAAAAACAAGTGTGATGGAGGGAAGGTCAAACCGGCAACTACATGCAACATGTTTCACTGAAATCATATGAGGCACATGAAAAAAAAAAATATGTTTCTATAAAAATAAACTTATATATAACACTATCATATAAACTTTAAACATTAACAGTTTAACAAAATAAATCTGGTGAATATCTTTATGTATAATGTACATGTATATAATGTAAAATATCTAAAAATAAGCTTAACATAATCTTTGAAAATTATCCCTAAACAAAACCTTTAAGTGACATTATGCTTATTTTTGTTGTCAAGTTGAGCTACATACATGTACTTTAAAAAATCAACTTTTATAGTGGTCACTGACCAAAAATCGATAATGAAAAAATGTTTAGGATAAAACTAAAATACTAAAGACTCCCTCAGTCTATTTGTCAATTAAACATTAACAATACATTCTGAAAGATATTTATAGAATTTTCTGTGAGTCATGTGGGTTGTTGATTACACACATGAATTGATAAATTTGAGAAACAATTATGACAAAATCTAAATAAAATGCTTTTTTGTTATGCATCACTGTTTTCAAATAACATACTAGTATATGTAAAATTGCTAAAAATCATATTTTGTTTCTATAAAACTGACTATAAACTATTGAGTATTAGAGATATGCCACTGATAAACCTAATTGTTAAAGATTGTCGCGAAACCTTTAAGGATTACAAACTCTTATGAACTAGTAAATACAAATATGTTATACATCCTATGTTGTAATAAAGGTTGTAACCACACTTAAGTGAAATTTTTTATATGTACGGGTATATAATTATGCTTTTAAAACAATTTTCAAACATTGAAGAATATGTAAAATATGTACTGCAAATATTTCGTTGTCCACATTATATGTATTCATTAAGATATATGCATTCATTTCTTATTGAAAAATTTGACTTAGACTTAATAGAAAATAGATTTCTAATACCTCCCTTTATTAACATGAAACGTAAATTTGGTAATATCTTTACAATTAATGCTTTTTGGAAATTACAATATTGATAAATCTTCATTTGAGCTAAACCATAAACAATTTAAGTTACAGGATCTTTAAGGTTCAATCATAACAAGCAAATTCGTTGAATTTATATCCCCCGTCGAGTACTGGTTATTATTAACACAACAACTGAAGACATAAGGCTTTATTTATATATTAATCATGGCATAAACTGTAATATTCTTTGAACTTGAAGCCTTGTACCTTCAAACAAGAATTTTTTTTAAGTTTTCACTATTTACATATAAGGAAAATCTATGACCCCCTGGAGTGGGGCCAAATTTGACCCCAGGGCTAAAATTTGAACAATTTTTGTAGAGGACCTATAGGTTATATCATATACCAAATATCAAAGCTCTAGGCCTTGTACTTTCAGACAAGATTTTTTAATTTTGCATTTTTGAAACTCCTTTTCTGGCCCTGTGACCTACTTATGCAACAGACCGGAACCATTTGATCAACTTTGGCAGGGGACCACCCTAGGATCATTCCTGTAAAGTTTGGTTGCTGTGCAGTCATTTGTTTCTGAGGAGATGTTGTTTAAAGAAATTGCTGACGACGCACGACGACGGACGGTGGGGGATCACAATAGCTCACATAGATGTAAAAACATCTTAATCTCCAGACTTCATTGCCATTTTCAAGGCATCAAGAAGGGATCTCACAATTTTCAAATATTTTTAAATGTTATTGTAACAAATCATTTTAATTCTTCTTTAATAAAAACTAGAAATGTGTCCATAGGACACGGGTGCCCCCACCGCGCCACTGTTCTGTCAATCTTATGACTCTAGGTCAAATATTTTTTGAAAACTAAAAATCTTTTTACTAAGTAAAGGGCAAGAACTTTACAAATACTGAATAAATCCCCAAGCAAACCCCAAGTTGAAAATTGCAAATTTATACTACTGTAATTCAAGGGCAATAACTCGTAACAAAACTGAAAAAAATCCACATGCAAAGTCCCAGGTTCATAGCATCACAGTGAGGTGAATCATTATTCCTGTAATTTAGTGATGTTGATCATTATTCCTGTAAAGTTGGTCGATTCTAACTCAAGCACTCAAGGATCAAATAACAACATAATGAAACAGTTTTTACTAAGTCAAGGGAAATAACTCTACAAATACTGGATAAATCCACAAGCGAAACCCCAGGAACAAACTAAATATGCTGAGCAACTTTCCAATAAGGTTTAATGACCCTATGTCAAATCCTTTTTGAGTTACATGCGACACATGTTGAAAATTGCAAACATTTTCTAAGTCAAGGGCAATAACTCTAAAAATACTAAATAAATCCAGACGAAAATACCCAGGTGCACAACTACACATGCTGATCAACATTCCTGTAAAGTATCATGACTCTAGGTCAAATACTTTTTGAGTTACATGCGACACAAGTTGAAAATTACAAAATTTTACTAAGTCAAGGGCAATAACTCTAAAAATACTAAAAATATCCAGACGAAAATACCCAGGTGCACAACTACACATACTGATCAACATTCCTGTAAAGTTTCATGACTCTAGGTCAAATACTTTTTGAGTTACATGCGACACAAGTTGAAAATTACAAAATTTTACTAAGTCAAGGGCAATAACTCTTAAAATACTAAAAATATCCAGACGAAAATACCCAGGTGCACAACTTCACATGCTGATCAACATTCCCATAAAGTTTCGTTGAATTCCAGCCATTAGTTGCAGAGAACTACTCCGGAAACGAAATTCGGACAAAATTTTACTGAGTCAAGGGCAATAACTCTAAAAATACTAAAAATATCCAGACGAAAATACCCAGGTGCACAACTTCACATGCTGATCAACATTCCCATAAAGTTTCGTTGAATTCCAGCCATTAGTTGCAGAGAACTACTCCGGAAACGAAATTCGGACGGACGGACGGACGGAAGGACAACGCCAAAACTATATCCCCCTCCCGATTCCATCGGCGGGGGATAATAAAACCATAATTGCATCAGCTTTCTTTCAACAGTTTTAAAAAAAAAACAAACAAAAAACCAAACTATTTTTGGTATTATTTTATCTGTGATGTCATGAATCGCAAAAAATACCAATCTGATGCTCATTAGGATGGTTAATCCTTATGAAAAGAAACTGAGGGTTCGACCTCCCACAGACAAAAAACCCCAATGAACCTAGACTACACGATATGACAATGTCACAATGAGTACCCTATATGTTATTGCAAGACATTGACAATGGCCACTTTGTTCCCATTTTCTGAAACCATTCTTTTGGAATCACAATAAATATCTGTGTTTGTACATATTATACAGTGACAGTAGTCCTTTAGCACCAGCGGCCATTTTGTTCCAGAGGTCAAGGTCACATGAATGTGCACTGAGTGCCTTTTCAAGCGGTAACAGGAAAATCTTCTCTGATTCATAGGCTTCTGCTTGACAACCTTCTTTGTAAAGAGATTCTACCTCTGATGATGTCAACTTACACCTTAAAATATAAAAATAGTAACAAAGGTGAATAAAGAACTTCAATATTCATTAGATAATGTACTGGTATCATATATAGTCATAAACTTGTCATCATGCCATTTAAAGAATAAGGAAGCCTATACCAGGATACAACATTTTGATTACATAAACTTGCCTACATTTTTGTATTTTAAAAAAAACATCATCTCATGATATTCTTTGGACTTCAAAATAATTCTTTCACAAGGAATACCAATCAAGGAATCTTAAGAAAAAAAGTCCTTAAAACATGCTTGTCTCTGGGTATCTGGGATCTTCCTCCACAAGTAAAAGATAGAATGTAGTCATATGTCCATGCCTCTACATTTCACTGTTTTATTAGTCTAACAACAGACAGTGAGTCTGACTAATGGACAAGGGAAAATCTATATACACCCCGTCCCCCCATAGTGGAGTGGATGGAGGCATAAAAGTCTACGATAAACAATATATAATTATTCTTCATGACAATATAAACATACTTGTGGGTGTAAATAACCTATACCCATAATAGATTTTAGTCATATCTCTATATATCAAAGATATGATTATTTCTATATACATGTATCTCTTAAATATGTAATGGATAGAAAACTAGTTGTCTATATTGTATAGACAGACAACTCCACAAGATTTTCTATCGGACTTAGACCATGTGAAAACTCAGGAAAAAAACCTACTAAATACATGTTTTTAAGATTTAAACAGAAGAGCTTTCTTTGGGATCACCATTAAAATATATATGGCTGAAAGTTTATATTTATAAGTGGTGAGTCTCTTGATTCTTTATAATGATACATGTTTGGTAGTCAAGCAATTTCGGCATTTGATAAATTAATTGAAACAAAACTGTGAAATTATGTTCTAAATTTTCTTATTGGTTATGATTTTACGTAAGTTGGATTTTTTGACAACTTATTAATTACCAAACGTTTTTGTAATAGATTGAATGCTTACAGATATTATTTAGTGGTGAAATGGATTTGGATTCAGATTGAAGTCAGTTTTTACAATAAGGCAAGAAAATAGTGCATTGGCAGTATAACAATAGGCAGCGGTTAAGTGTTGTCTATTATAAGGATATGTGCAACTGAAATACTTTGCTGTAATTGGTCAATCTGTGGTCTATTAGAAATAATAATCAATACTTTATCAAGAACTCGACATTTGGTTTTCCGCCACTTAGATGACTCCTGTGGATGCCAAGTATACCAGGTGGTTCTAGGGAGCTTGCCGGAATGTTCACCTCCGATATGACCTCTTCAGTGATTGAATTAAATAGTTCTTCTATCACAGCTTCTTCCTTCATCTCGGATATGTTTATTTCTTCGACAGGTGTTGGTCCTACCAGGTTCTATAAAATATATAATACTGGAATATACAGTGTTGATCAGAAACTATTGTACTGTGCATAACATTGTTTAAAAAAGATATATGTTAAAATGAAACATTTACGAACTTGACAAAGCTACCCCTTACAGACAAAGATAACACTTATTTCAAGTCTTATATGTATGTTTGTCAGAAATAAATGTTTATTCTATTATAGTTATAACTTAAGTTTGCTCAAGAAAAAATTGTCCAGTGTATAGACAGATGTCACCAAACCATTACACTTGGACATGTGTCCAATATGTGTGAAGGAGATACTAAATTGTATGAACAGATGACAAAAACATGTGGTCAGATGACAAGAATGTATGGAATATGACAGGTAAGTAGAACATGCATACAAATGACAAGAATACATGGACCGATGACAACAGTGTATGAGAAAATAGCAAGTATGTATTGAAACATGACTGGAAAATGCAGACAGGTGACAAGAATATGTGAACAGATGAGCGGAACATGCAAATGACAGGACTATAGGAACAGATGAGTGAAACATGCATACAGGTGACAAGAATATGTGGACAGATGAGCGGAACATGCAAGTGACAAGACTATACCTAGGCACAGATGAGTGAAACATGCATTCAGGTGACAAGATGATCTGAACAGATGACTGAAGCATGCAGACAGATAGCAACACTGGTTAACAGATGAATGAAGCATGCAGACAGATAGCAACACTGGTTAACAGATGAATGAAGCATGCAGACAGATGACAAGAATGTGTGAACAGATGAATGAAGCATGCATACAGATAACAAGAATGCATGCAAACAGATAGCAAGAATTTGTTAACTGATGGCAGAAGCATGCAGCCAGATAGCAAGAATGTGTGAACAGATAACTGAAGCATGCAGAGAGATGACAAGAATGTGTGAACAGATGAATGAAGCATGCAGGCAGATAGCAAGAATGTGTGAACAGATGACTGAAGCATGCAGACAAATGACAAGAATGTGTCAACAGATGAATGAAGCATACAGGCAGATAGCAAGTATGTGTGAACAGACGAGTGGATTATGCAGACAGATAGCAATAATGTGTTAACAGATGGCAGAAGCATGCAGACAGATGACAAGAATGTGTGAACAGATGAATGAAGCATGCATACAGATAACAAGAATGCATGCAAACAGATAGCAAGAATTTGTTAACTGATGGCAGAAGCATGCAGCCAGATAGCAAGAATGTGTGAACAGATGACTGAAGCATGCAGAGAGATGACAAGAATGTGTGAACAGATGAATGAAGCAAGCAGGCAGATAGCAAGAATGTGTGAACAGATGGCTGAAGCATGCAGACAAATGACAAGAATGTGTCAACAGATGAATGAAGCATACAGGCAGATAGAAAGTATGTGTGAACAGACGAGTGGATTATGCAGACAGATAGCAAGAATGTGTTAACAGATGGCAGAAGCATGCAGACAGATGACAAGAATGTGTGAACATGCAGGCAGAAGCATGCAGACAGGTAGCAAGAATGTGTGAACAGATGACTGAAGCATGCAGACAGATGACAAGAATGTGTGAACTCATGACTGAAGCATGCAGACAGATATCAACACTGGTTAACAGATGGCAGAAGCATGCAGACAGATGACAAGAATATGTGAACAGATGAATGAAACATGCACACAGATAGCAAGAATTTAAGAACAGATGACTAAAGCATGTAGACAGATAGCAAGAATGTGTGAACACCAGAAAATAAAATACAAAAATGCAGAATTTTTAAAATGAAGGCCCCCAAAAGAAGGAAAACCCTTGCAAGCCAAAAAAAAAAATGGCAACAGTGGGCATCGGGTTGCATTTTGCGCGGGGGGTTTGCAGAAATCAAAACGAGGCAAAATAAAAGAGAAAGTTTGGGGGATAAATTAAAAAGGGAAATCCCATAACAAACAGAAAAGGCGCAAGGAAAACAAAGGAAAACCCCAAAACAAAAGTTAACAGTGATGAAAAAGAAAATAAAGAAGGGACGATTAAAAAACGGGGTTCGATGTTAACAATGGTGAAAAACAATAAAAATTGAAAAATTAAATAAACGAAAAATATTTAAACTGTTAGAGAAGGCAAAATGTTCCAGGAAAAGGGCCCAATGCAAAATTGTGAAAAGAAGAGAAATAACGTAGCAAAAAATTTTTAACTGTGAAGGGAAAAAAATGGGAAAAGTACTGGCATGAAAATACAAAATGTGAACCAATGGGAAAGTTAAAAAAGGTAACCCCAACAGAACATCGAAAACAAATTTAAAGGAAAATAAATCCCCCCCTGGAAAAATTTATAAAGTTGAAAAATACAAAAATGGTCCCCCTTTAAAAAAAAAGCGGCTTTTTTTAAAATTTGGGGCTTCAAGAAAAAAAATTTTCCAAAAAAGGAATCGGGGAAAATCCTTATTTTTAAATTTGCTTTTTATAACTTTTTTAATTATTATTTAAAAAATTTTTTTATAATTTTGGGAAAATACCTGGCACGGGGAAAAAAGTTTTGAAAATCTTTAAAAAAAAAGGGTGGTAAAGAAAAAAAAAAAAAACCCTTGATTTTAAAGCCTTTAAAAAAAATTAAAGGGGGGGGAAAAAATTTGAGAAAATTTTTTAAGGGGAATTTAGTACTAGAAAAAAAGGCTTTATTTTCCCCCTAAAAATAATTTTTTCAAAAAAAAAAAAACTATGCCAAAAAAGATTTTATTTTTTTTGACAAAGCATAAATAAGATTTACTTTTAAAATTTAAAAGTAAAAAATTAACCCTTAAAAATAAAGGAATGGGGAATTTAAATTTTTTAAGTTTTTTAAAATTTTCCCCAAAATTTTATAAAAGGTTTTAAATTTTTTTTAAAAAAAAAAACGGTGAAACAAGGAAATCTTGCGTAACAGAAAGGGGAAAAAAAATGACGCAAAATTAGTAAAATTTTTCAAAAGCAAAAACCAAAGGGGGAAAGGCTAAGTGGATTTAAACCCATACCGTTTTTCCCCCAAAAGTTCACAAAAGGGGCTTTTGCCAAAAAAATTGCAAGGGAGTTAATGTTTCCCCCGGGTCCCTTTTTTGAAAAGGGGCCCTAAAATTCAAAACAAAACCAGTGAATATTTGGCGGGTTTCAAAACACATCAATCCAAATGTGAAACCTATAGCACAAAGAAATAGAAGAAACACCATTTCATTTAAGAGGAAAAGTAGAAAAAGAAATTAAAACCTCGTTAGAAAATGATATTATTGAAGTAGTTATAAATGAGCCTACACCTTGGGTTTCACCAATTGTCACACCTCCAAAACAAAATGGCGATGTAAGACTCTGTGTTGATATGAGAGAGGCCAATAAAGCCATAGAAAGGGAAAGAAATCAAATGCCGACGATAGATGAACTAATTTATGATATGAATGGAGCAAAAATATTCAGCAAGCTTGACCTCAAAGCCGGGTACAATCAGCTTGTCTTACAAGAAGAATCGCGGTATATCACAACATTTGCTACACACATGGGACTTTATCGGTATAAACGTTTGAATTTTGGGACAAATTCTGCTAGTGAGGTATTTCAAAAGACCATAAGTGAAGTAATACAGGGTATAGAGGGATCTAAAAATATTTCGGATGATATTATTGTATACGCAAAAATCAAAGTGATCACGATAAAGCATTAGATAAAGTTTTCCGGGCTATACACGAAAGTGGCATGACATTAAACAGATCTAAATGTGAGTTCAATAAAAAAGAAATCACTTTTTTTGGAGTAGTATTCGGGCAAAATGGAATGTCACCTTCACCTCAGAAGGTAGAGGCAGTCAAACAAATGCTGGAGCCTACAAATGTGACGGAAATGAGAAGTTTTCTGGGAATGACGTCATATTCGTCACGGTTTATACGAAACTACGCGACAATCTCTGAACCGTTACGACGTCTTACAAGAAATGACACTCAATGGGAATGGGGCAGTGAGCAACAAGCAGCATTCGAGAAATTAAAAAGTGAACTGAGCAGTGAAACTGTCATGGCATACTTCAATCCGAGCAAAGACATTGAAGTAATAACAGATGGATCACCTGTGGGAGTCTCGGGAATACTCACACAAAAAGGCAAGGTGGTGGCTTATGCATCTCAATCTTTAACACAGGTGGAAACGAGGTACAGTCAGACAGAACGAGAAGCACTGGCTTTGGTATGGTCATGCGAACATTTTGCGATGTATCTAAAGGGAGCACCAACATTCACATGCATTACAGATTGCATGCTGTTAACTAAAATTTGGGAAAAGAAACAACCACCACTAAGAATGGAACGTTGGGGATTGCGACTTCAACCGTTCAAAATGAAAATAGAGTATAGGTCAGGGAAAGATAATCCCTCAGACTTTATGTCCCGTCATCCATTAAAATATAAGGAAGAACGAAATATAGCAGAGGAATACGTGTCATTTGTCGCAGAACAATCATTACCAGATGCAATGACAATAGATGAGGTAAAAATGGAATCAATGAAAGATAAGACAATGCAAAAGGCAGTCGAATTTACAAAGAATGGTAAATGGTATGAATTGAAAACACTGAATGACCCAGAAATAGACAAAGAAGAATTATCATCTTTTCGTAATATAAAGGACGAATTGACTGTGTATAATGAAACATTATTGATGAAAAATGATAAACTAGTGATTCCCAAATCACTCCGTGAAAAAGCAATAAAACTAGGACATGAAGGTCACCAAGGAATTGTGAAGACAAAAAGTTACATAAGATCGAAAGTATATTTTCCAAACATGAATTCTGAAATCGAAGCTGTAATTCAAAAGTGTTTAGCATGTCAATCAAATTCAAATGAACAAAGACCGCGTGAACCTTTGAGAATGAGTGAATTGCCGTCGGGACCTTGGCTCAATATAAGCGCTGACTTTGTGGTCCGTTAGAAAACGGGGACTATTTACTTGTGGTAATAGACGAGTATTCGAGATATCCGTTAGTTGAAATA